ACATAAGACTGTAGACTCTTCTGTAACACAATGGCACAGTTGGGCACACACATCTCATCCTCGCTGTAATGTACAAAAGCCTTTTCCCAGCTCAGGAAAGTTGTGAATGCAGTGTCACAATGTCGTGTGATCACAGAGCTCTTTCTTTCCTGAGTTCTTAATGTCTCTGGCTGAGATACCAGCCTGTGGGAATGGTTCCTCCAGAGGAAATCTGTATTTGCAATTGGTATAACCAAATTCCGGTAAATTGTAAGTCAGGGAATGCTTGTGTTCCACTAAAAACCAAGAAGCAAACAGAATAAAGGGAACAAAATCTCTTTCAGTCAGACAGTAGTAGATTTCAGACCTGATTCAGCCATTTCTGAGAGGCTTTGAGAATGGGGTTAGCAGTCCCAGCCAAGCTCTTGTCTCTTTTGCTGTCACACAAGACAGTAGACCTCTTTTGTAACAGAACGGAACAGCTGGGCAGAGAAATCTCATTCTCACTGATATTCACAAAGGACTTTTCCCAGCTCAGATAAATTAGGATGTTGTGAGTATTGTCCTAGTGTTGTGTAAACACAGCACTCTTTCTTTCCTGGGTTCTGGATGTGTCTGGATGAGATGTGTGGGCCCTGTGTCCTTTGCTCTCTTGACACTGTGTCTGTCTGTGCAACCCTAGTGCTACCTGGTGAATTAGGGATTTGCTCCCATTCAGCCATTGCTATGCAGGCCATCCCATGCTTGTGTTCCTCTAAAACCCAAGAAAGAAACAGAATGAAGGGGGCCAGAGCTCTTTCACTCAGACATTCATATGTTTCAGGTCTTTTAAGACCATTCCTGAGAGGCTTTAAGAATGGGGTTAGCAGTCCTAGCTAAGTTCTTGTCTCTCCTGCTATCAGACAAGACAGTGAACCTTTAATTCTGTTCTGTAACAGTATGGAACAGAAAATGAGACAGACAAACCTCATCCTTTCTGAAATTCACAGTGACCTTCGCCCAGCTCAGGTCAGTGCTGGGAAGTTGTCAGTGCTGTGTCAAGTTGCATGTGAGCACCAAGCTCTTTCTTTCCTGTGTTCTGGATGTTTCTGTCTGAAATAGATAGGCTCTGTGGGCTTTGATTTCATGTCACTTCGTCAGTCAACACAACCACTGTGTGTTTCCTAATGTTCACTGGTGTTGCCCGGTGAATCAGAGAATTCCTGCCATTCAGCCATTGCAAAGCAGGCAATTCCAGCTCAGCAGGCAAGGAGGGTATCTTGACCCTTTGAGTACAGAGGTGTCACTCATCTTTTATGTGTCAGAGAAGAGCAGCAAAATGCACAATAAGATCTATATTTTGGCCGATAAGAGGGGATTGGCTGTTCTGTCTCCTTGCAATATATCGGCACAAATGGTTTTGGGGTAGACTGTAACTGTACAGAGGTGTGAAAACCTGTTCATTGTTTTTGGGTGCATTGCATGAATACTCCACGTGTCCCTCAAAAAGCATTTTCTGAATCAAGATGAGTTTGTTAAAAGGACTTTGAGTTTGGTCTTTTCATTGTTGTTCCTGAATTCAGTGGAATTGAACTGGGAAGCTGTCCCAGCATGACTTTCTGGGTTTGTGTTAGAGCATTTGCATTCTCCTTTAGGCCCTTTTTCCTTCTACTCTCTGAACGGGGCTTGACCATTTTTTTGCCTCCTCCCTTTAAGAAGGACTGCCACTCTATCTATAGTAACTGATACCTTTAATAATGTATGTGATGCGCAGAATATTCAGAAAGCCTCATGCTGTCTGTGTTGTGATGAAGTTTTAAAGAGTAACATTCTAAACTGGGATACCCCAAGTGTAAAAATTGAAATAATGTATAAGAGTGAAATAAAGATAGAGTACCTTAATTCCTTG